ACTGCTAAATTAGGGAGGGCTAGTGCAAGTAGCCCTCGTGTAGCTTTGCGCGAAATTCAAAAACAAACAAACAATCACCAGCAGTAATCAGCCCTCGTGCTGATGTTCCACCTTCCCTGATACATTCTCTCTATTTCCCTGATGTCTTGATGAAACATTTCCCCTTGTTCTTCGATGGTGGAAATAGTCAATCTGCGAGTATAAGAAATGAACTTTCAAGCTCATATTACAACCTAACTCTATGAATTTATCGAGCATGTTATTGACAATATTTTCGTAATTTGGGTCCTTGTTATTTCTTGAAAATTTGTCAATAACATCTTTGAAGGCAATCCACGCTTCTTTTTCAACTATCCTCATTGTCCTTTCAAACTGTTCATCCGAATTCAATTTCTTAATCTGAGGCCCAACAAAAATACCTTCTTCTGAAAGAGCTGGAAATTGCCCACATGGAAACTTGAAACAGTCGCCATCTTTGTCTAAGGCCTTTACAAACAGCTTCATCAAGCCCAGTTTTATGAGAAGTGCAGGTTATAGAACTTTTTCTGTGTCAACCAAATTTTCACGTTCAATGTTCTTCGATCCTGGTATCAGGCTGACTCTGCGTGGCCATCGCTTCTTTATCCAGTGCTGATCTCGCTCTCTGCTGTCTCATTTAACAAAAAACATGGAAACTTTGTATAACCGGATTGTTGAACCAACAACATACAAAGGACTTTCAGGTCTCCACAAAGTAGCCAACCATGTTCTTTGTATTCGACCTTATTAAGAAGAAGCTCGAGATTTTAGTATATGAGCAATTGAAACAGACATATATATATGTTACCATTGTTACCATTCTTTTGGAGGAATCAATGAACAATCGTCACCCACTTGGTTCATAAACTGCAGCTCCTATTATTGGTATTAATTCAGCACTTTGTTGCAATAAACCAGTGAACCTTCTTGCGAAAAGTATGGTATAAATTCTTTCTCACGATTTTTGTATCAGTAGAATGATGTCCCTGGAGAAAGCAAGTTCTTAGCCCAAAGTCTGGACCCCAAAATCTCCGAAGAATCCTTTGGAAGGCCCAAATCTCTCATCAAATCATTAAGTTCACCTTGTGTGAAAAGTTGTGGTTCACCAGATGTTTCAGGTTGAAAACAATTCCAATCATCATTTCTATTGACATCAGATTCAGAATCAGATAAAACTGTATCAAGATTCTCTGTTGGAGTAGGTTCAGGTACATCAGATCCATGAGCAAGAGGTTTTATAGCAGATCAAAGGTTTGGATAAGAAATTTCCTTTTTATTTCGAGTGTTGTAGCCTTGCAGAT